GGGGAAGGGGGAGGGGGAGGAGGGGGAGGAGGAGGGGAGGATGGGAGGAGGAGGGGGAGGAGGGGGAGGAGAACAAGGAGGTGGAGACGCCATAATTAGCCAGATCACCGGGGGTGGCGCTGGGAATGCTAGGGCAGAGGCAGAACCTCCTGGAGTTCCCAGGATGGAGATCAGCCCTGGTGAAGAAGGGAGGGGTTTGCCAACGCTTCCTGAAAGGAACTGTCAGAAACCGAGAAACAGGAGGGCACAGTGGCCAGGGCACAGCTTGGACAGAGCCATGGAAGAGCAGGGAGCTGACATTTGTGAAGCTCTCCTAGGAGTCTAGCTTAAGAGACATTCTCATTTATGCCACACACCCCGGGAGGTGGAGGGGAGGAAATGATCACCCAGAAGGCTCAGGAGACATCCCCAAGGTCACATGGCTGGGAAGTTGAAGAGCCTGGATGTGAACTCTGGAATCAGACTCTAGACCTTCACTGTCCACCGTGGTGGCCCCGAGCCACTGTGGCTGTTGGACACCTGAATAGCAACTAGTCCAAACTGACGTGTGCTGTAAATGTAAAACACGCTGAGTTTCGAAACTCAGTATGAAAATAGGCGAACTATCCCATGGGTAGCTTTTACATTGATTACATGTTGAATTATGTTGGATATATTGAGTGGAATAAAATACATTATTAATTCACTTCACCTATTCTTTTTACTTTTTTAATGTGGCTACTAGAAAATTTTAAATTATATCCGTAGCTTGCATTTATATCCCTTTTGGACAGAGCTGGTCTATACCATGAAAACAGAAATGCACAGGACAGATTTAAAGGAAGAGAGTGGGAACTCACCCATTTTTTGATGGGGGAGGCAGGGCCAGATGGTGAGGTTCTCAGGGATCAGGTGGGCGCAAATATCAAAGATGACTGAGCAGTGGACTGTCTGCCTCCTCTCCTCTGTCCCAGCTGGACAGCCAGCAACAGGTGGACTGGGGCCAGGGATGACCATTCCCCTGCGGTCCCCCCAGTCTCCCAAGATACATCAAGCCATAGTAGTTGCCATAGAGACAGTAAATCTTCCTGAAAACTGAACTTGGCAGCAAGGTGGGGGTGGTAGGAGAATCTACCATAAAGAGAGAGGGAGGGAGCCAGGCTTATCCGGAGAGGAAATCTGTGTATGCTGTGTGTTGGGGGCAGGGTGGTGCATGAGCTCCCACCCTGGAGGGACAGGGAGGGATGCACAGCTCAGGCGGTGTTTGCACAGAGCTTTCCGGGCCTTCCTCCCTACTGCCCCAACCCCCCTTACCAATTCACCAGAAATTTCCTATCTTGTTCTCGCATTCTGACTCTGGGACGCAAGTGGGGGTGGGGGCAGATAAGCACCAGCCCTCCCTGATCCCACCGTCGCACCTCAGCCCCTAGCAGCGTCGGTTTCCCTAAAAATATCAGAGGGGGTGGTCAGGGGCATGAAAAAACAAATTGGAGTGTGTTACAGCACTAGAAGCAGGCCATTCATTGCCCAGCTGAGAGGGTGGGAAACAGGCAGATCGAACACCAGCTTTGTCGCGCACTCTCCGGGCCATCTTGGACAAGGGCCTCGGTTTGCCCATCTACGGACAGAAGTCAATGTTGCACTAACTACAGGCCCCCCCGTGTCCTCTGACTTCTCCCCACTTTAGGGTGGTACCTAAGCTCCCAGGTCCCAGGCAGCATGGCACATGTGTGTGCCATGGGGCTGGTGCACAGGGGCTGGTGCACTTGGGCGGTGCTGGGTACTCCTGCTCACCAGGCCGAAGTAAGAGCCCCTTGAGCTCGACCCGGAAACTGTGCCACTGGTACCCACTTCCAACACCCCGCAGGGAGGGTCAGAGAGATAAAGGGTTTTGAAAGTGGGAGTGGGGGAAGGCGGAAGCCTCTGCTCTCCCATCAGAGTTCCTCCTTCCACTTGACACAAAAGCCCATTCAACAGAGGGGGAGACTTGAGTCCTAGGGAAGGGCACCCAGGTGGCATATGTTTTATGGCTTAAGCCAGAGCTTGCCTCTCTCCATGGGTACAAAGTTAGTTCTCTTTCGAGTCTGTCCAAAATTCCTCCATCTTTTTTTTCTTTCTAGTTCCAGATTTTACTAAGCTATGGTTAGGCCAGCATGCCAGGATGTCAGGTATCTAGTCACTGCTCTCCCATGGCAGAGAGCCCCCACGTGCTAGCCTGGCCAAAGTCTCTTTCTCTCAAGGCTGCACCCTTCCCACCGAGGGGCAGCTCAATTTAGGGAAAACCCCTGTTCACAGGCACCACCACCCCCCCGCCCCCCACCCCAGAACTATGGGAGGGGAGCGAGGAGACTGGAATCCCAGAACGCCCTTCCATCCCCAAAGGGCCTGAGGACCAACCACCTTACAAACGGGGAAACAGACCTAAACATAGGCTAAGACCGGCCCAAGGTCACACACCAAGCACAAGGGGGAAAATCCGGGGCTAGAACTCAGTTGTTCTATCTACCTCTAGCCCCTCCCCAAGGCTGATTCCCGGAGATGCTCACAGAGGATGAGGCAGCCCCAGTGGCCCGCGCCCTACCCCAGGCCCCAAGCGACACAGAACAGGGGGAGGCGTCTTCGGGCCTCTAGCCAGGGCCAGCTGCAAACCGCATCCTGGGTCCCCAGACGCCGCGGACCCGCCCCGCCCCTCCCTCCGCTCCCCGCAGCCCCAAGCCTTTGTCAGCCACGCGCTCACACGCTCACACACACATCCGCGCCGCCCGCGAGCACACACTTGGTTTCCCCTGGCACACACCCGCAAGGGGCGCGCGCACTCGCCGCACGCACGCAGGGGAGTGGAGACGGCGGAGGAAGGAAGGAACTGACCGGCTACGGACCGACAGACAGCCTGGGCTGGGGGAAGGGGAGGAGAGGCCCGGGAACCTGAGGCTGGGGCGGATGGGGGCGCGGAGGTCAGAACGCAGAGAGACGCAAAGGAGACTCTCTCGTAGAAGAGGACAACGGATAGGACGTCAAGGGCTGGCGAGGACGCGCGGGCTACTCCAGGGATGGGGACTCCCCCAACCCCAGGCCCGGGGGTACGGGGGCCGGTCCCTGGATTGGACCAGTAGATCTCAGGGCATCACTTGCCCAGTCGTGCCTGAACGGAGGGCCCTTAGGGACCCCACGAAAGGCTTGGATATAGGGGGCCTGGAACCGAAGGTTCCCCGAGGTACCTCGAGGCAGAGGGTCCTGGTTCTTGGGCTGGGTGGGGCACTCGCTCACCTGCTACGGTGTACCTGTCCAGGTAGTTGAGCACGTTGCCCAAGCTGAGGATGGCAGCGGCTGCCCCCCGCCCGCGGCCCAAGCTGGCTGGTTTGGGCTGCTGAGCGCCGAGGCCCTTGGCAGCGGCTGCGCCGCTGGGGGTGCTGGGGGTGCTGGGGGGTGCGGAAGGGGCCCGTCTCACGCTGCCCGACAGCGTCTGCACCTCATCGTCGGCGGTCGCCACTCCAGCGGCGCCCGCTGCCCGCGCCCCGCAGCAACCGCCACCGCCGGCCCCTCGCTGCGCCCCCCGGCGCCGGCGCCGCCGCTCCGCGTCCGCCTCCTCCTCCTCCGCGCCGCCCGCCGCCGCCGAGGCGCATTCCAGGCACATCATGCCGGCCGGGATCGGGGCGGCGGGGGGCGCGGGGGGCGCGGGGCCCAGCTTGGGCCCACTCAGTGCGTGTGTGCGCCGAGGAGCCGCCGCTGCACCATCCCGGCCGGGCGCCGTCGGCTCCTGCGCTCCGACCCCGGCTGCGGCGCTGCCACCGTCTCAGCCCGGTGCGCCGCGGTCGCCGCCGCCGCTGCTCTGACAGCTGCGGCCCGGCCCCGCCCACCAGGCCCGCGCCCAATCAGCCCCGGGCTCGGGCCACAGCCCCGCCCCGCACGTGCTGCCCCCGGGGGGCGGAGGAGGAGGGCCGGGCCGCAGAGCCCCTCCCGCCCGACGGGGGCGCAGTCACTCTGGAGCCGCGCGGCCGCCGAGGCTGACGAGGACCCGGAGGGGGTTTGTGGGGAGCTGCGGAGCTAAGAGTAGCGTCCGGGAAGCAGGACTTCCCAGCACCCACTCAGTGCCCTCTCCGCCCCCTACCAAGGCGGAGACTCTGGGAGAAAGCTGAAGGCTAGAGCTCAGGGCATACGGACATCCTGGAGAGAGGGTCTCAGACGGTTAAGTCAGGGGTTGCGGGTAGGAGGGCCCACGGCCTTTCCAGCAGCTACTCACCCGCCATGATTTAATCAGTTCAGGGAGGGCTGCGTAAGAACCAAGAAGCGTGACGGGTGGGGGGTTGGCCCGGGACCCAGGCCTCCACCAGTCACAGAAGGCTATGTCACTCACCCATCTGGAAGCTCAGATCCAGCCCCCTGCCTCCTGCTGGGCCCATTCCTGTGTGCACACCGAGACCCTACCCCTGCCCCTCAGAAAGGCAGCCCCTGGGAGAGAGAGCCAGGGCTCCAACCGGCCCCCTGCCCCACCCCCGAAACAGGGCATTGAAAGGGGGCCTTCTCTCCTGAGGGCACGGCAACGGGCAACCGCAAGCATCACACTTCAGCAGCGCACGACAAAGCCCTCAATGGGAGACAGGAGGCTGGGTCCTAGCCCAGTTCTGCCCTGGTGTGTGGCATGACCCTAGACAAGACCCCTAACTTTCTCTGGGTCTCCGTTTCTCTCTTTGGGGGTAGATAGGAGGACAGGATTTAAAGGGTCTGGAAGTCCCCCAGGTCCTCCCTTGGGGGAGCGGGGCGCCCTGTCTCCTGTGCAGAGTGGTCAGGTAGTTTCTGTATTCAGGGCCACAGTCTCCACTCTCACCCATCTCAGAGGGGCTGTGGTTTTGGTAAGCTCCCTCCCCCATTCATTTGTTCGCAGCTTTGAAATGAAAATCCTGTAGAGTGCTGAGGACATAATGGTAGAAGTAGACAGAGCCTGGGAAACCAGAGTTCTTCACACACAGGTTCCAGGGCCCATAAGTGACCCTACCGTGGACATGCAGCTAGTTGGCAGCAGGGCTGGTGCTGACCCAGGTTGGTGCAATACCTTCGGCCTGGGCTGGGAGCTCGGTTCCCACTACGGGCTGCTCCAGATCCCACATCCGTGGGCAGGTGCATCTCGTGAAGGTGTCGGCCACAGTGAGTCATGGCATAGCCAACGGGTGACACAGCACAAGTCACCCCTCCCCACTCCCGCCCCACCGTCTCTTGTGAGCAGAGTTAATCCCCGAGCTGGTGTTTCTTGGCGCCTTCGAGGTGTATTTTAAATTCTGCAAAGTGACTAAAAATATGCTTCATCGTGTTGGGTATGAATGACTGTGGCGGGAGGGTTAGGAAAACAGATTTCATTCTGAAAGTTGCCTTGCTGCCTCTTTCCAGTTTGCTGAGCCCAGGACTGCAAAGCTGGGTGAGGGAAGTTCCACGGGGTGGCCCAGGATGGCAGGTGATTAAACAGGGAAGGACAGACCTAGGAGCTCCATGGGGTTGGGACTGAGCCCTGGCACTGACTTTCATAACTGTGTGATGGTGCCAGCTAAAGGACAGTGCCCAGCGGGGCGATGCGGCCAGCTAGGGGCCTGTCCAGCAGTGAAGAAGGCAGAACCATGGCTCTAAGCCCAACACCATGGTCCCCTTCCCACTCCCCAAAATTCCTCATCCTTTCAGCCACAGCTCTGCCCAGGGAGCAGTTTTAGGCCTTAGCCAGAAAGGGGAGCATTCCCTTTCCATGGCACTGCCTTTCCACCACTGAGTAGGCTCTGGAGCAGGGGAAAATTGGCAGTTTTGAGCCTTTCAAATTTGGGGGACCTCTAAGCTGCCACCAAGCAAGCCAGCCATTCCCAGTCTGTGGGGTTTTCTGGGATTTTAACTCAAAGGCACTCTCTAGAGTGGGTCCTTAGGTGGGATATGGGGCCACCAAAGGCACGGTGATGGGGGGACAATAAGCCCTTTTGGGCTGTATGGCCCTGGGCAAGTCACTGTGGCCTCCTGAGAGCCTCTGGGACCATCAGCTAGAGAACTTGTAGGGTTCTTGTCTTCATCTCACAGGTAAAGAGACCCAGGGAAGAGAAGTAATCTACCTAAGGTCACTAGTAAATGATGAGGCTTGCACTAAACCCAGGTGTGTCTACCCCCTAATCCAGTGTTTCCTCTACTGCCCCACAGCGATGCTCTTAGCTTCTCCAGGACAGAGCTTTCTCATCAACGTGATGGGAGGCTGAACTCAATGATGGCTAAAGGGCCTTCTGATATTCGTTCATTAGGTCTAGACCATAATTTCAAAACAAATGGGGCACATTTCATTAGTGGCCAGTGTCCCAAGGGCAAGTATATTTGGGAAATGGTGGGATAAACACAGAGAATTAGGTTTCCTAACTGAGGAACTTTTCAGAGTCTGTAATCTGAGAGTGTACACTGGGAGTCTCCCATGGGGAAGTATAGGCTGCCATGTCCCCATGTGTACTAGACCACAGAACATCTCGTAAGATGACTACAGCTTTGCAGAACACACTCTGAGAAATACTGGCTCCCCCACGGCTGCCACCTGGGAGCTCAGTCCACCTCCCCTCTGCCCATCTCCCTACACAGGAGTGTCTCCAGGGCTCAGCCTCAGTCTCCTCCCTGCTCACATGGCACACTCTCCCTTGGCAGCCTCTCACCCATGCTTGGGCTTTCAACAATTATCCACCTCCCTAGGACACCCCAACCTCCATCTCTAGATGTGGCCTCATCTCGGAGCACTAGGTCCACATGCAGTTTCCTGCACACTCCCCCCTAGATATCCCCCAGCACCTTAAACTCAGCACATCCAAGATTGAACTCATTGTCTTTCCCCTAAACCTGCTCCCACCCAATATCATTTATCTCTTGACAAATAGCAGCGGCATCCACATTGTCACTGAGCTGGGAACCTGGGAGCCATTTGGGACTCCTTCCTCTCCCTCAACTCCCACTTCTAGGGCCTGTCCATTTTTTCTCTTTAATATCTCCCAGTGTCCCAATTGCTCATGGACTTAGCTCAAACCTCTCCATGTCTCACTTGGACCCTTTTAAAGATGAACACCACCTGTTCCAACATTCCCCTCCAGTCTTTTTCTTTTCTTTTTTTTTCAGCCACATGTGAAATCTTAGTCCCCCGACCAGGGATCGAACCCACAGCCCCTGCAGTGGAAGCGCGGAGTCTTAACCACTGGACTGCCAGGGAAGTCCCCCGCCCAGTCTTTTCTTCATATTTTTTGCCAGTGATTTTCTAAGTCACACATACAACCCTAGCACTACCTTGCACAAAACTTTTCCATGGCTCCCCACTGCCTACAGGATTAAAAATATCTAAGTTCCTATCTACGAAACAGAAACAGACTCACAGAGAACAGACTTGTGGTTGCCAAGTGGGGGGGGCGGTGAGGGAGGGATGGATTGGGAGTTTGGGATTAGCAGATGCAAACTATTATATATAGAATGGATAAACAACAAGGTCCTACTGTATAGCACAGGGAACTAACTATATATTCAATATCCTGTAATAAACCATAATGGAAAAGAAAATGAAAAAGAATATATATATGTATAACTGAAACACTCTGCGGTACAGCAGAAATTAACATGACATTGGAAATCAACTATACTTCAATAAAATTAATTTTTTAAAAATATCTAAGTTCCTTAACATGATCTCCGATAACCCTTCATGACCCATGCCAATCTCCAGCCTTAGAGCCTACTGCCCATCTCTCAAAATTACACTCGTCTACACTGAAAATTGATCTCCCTGAACTCGCTCATAGTTATGATACTTCCTGGAGCCCAGAGGAGTGGCAGGAATTGGGGGCAGTTGTCTCTAGTCCCCGCTCTCCCCTCAACACAAAAGCCCTTGTCCTACTAACACATTGATGGTTCAGGACCACGGAGAGCGTCCCCTGGGCAGCCCCCTCCCCCGGCTTTTTAGTCCTGCTCTGCCTACGCTGTCTACCTAGGTCACTCCTCCCATTAGTCCTTCAGAAATCCAGCACAGCCATGACTTCCTCCAGGAAGCCCTCCCTGACCTGCTTGTTTCAATTGTCATTTCCTCCCCTAGGTTACTTGAGTAACCTGTGTATCCCTCCTCCGTCACACCAAACTCATTGTGCTATGTTTGTACATGAGTCCACCACTCCCCTCCACCGGCCCAACAACAGATCGTGAGCCTTAAGGGCCCATACGCTGTCTGATTCACTTCCGCTGTCCAGGACAGAGGAGGTGCTCAGAGAATGTTTGTGACTGAATGAGTAAATGACATTTAGCAGGTGCTTAGTAAGTGTGTGCTGATTTGCATCATGTATCTGTTGCTCTGCGTGACTCAGAACCAGCCAGGTTCCTCTCCGGGCCCTTCTGGTAAAGGCATTTTCTCCCTGATTGACTCCACCCTCCATTAGCTTCCCTGTGACATTTCCCTCCCACCCTTTGAATACGTTCTCCACAGGTCACCACCCACGGGTAGGGAGAGGACACCTCCTCTCTGCTCCCACTGTTGCCAAGCTGGGGACTTCTTGGAGCCCCTCCATCCCCCAGCCTGGGCCTGCCTCACGAGTTTTGCTCAGAACGCTTCGTCTCTGCCTCTCTCTCCTGCTCAGTACAGATGCCTCTGAGTCCCCACTAACACAGAAGTTCCTGTTCTGTCTTTTGAACATTCTTAACACTTTCTGAATTACAGATGCTCCGATCTCCTTTGATCATGGACTCAGACTATAAGAAGTGAAAAACCCCTTGAAGGACACTGAGTCCAGCCTCTTCCCTGTCCCGTGAGAGGCTGCATCTGAGAGAAGGACTGGCCTGCCCAGGATCA